ATACAACATAAGAGGCTTAATTCCTTTTCATAGAGCACTTACTTTAGAAAACTTGTTCTTTTTCTGTCTCTATGAAGTGTATATGCTGTTTTGAAAGCTAAGCAACTTACTGCCAGAGTTAAGACCCAGGAATGTCTTTCTGAAGGACCTGTCATCATCTCTTTGAACTATACACATCAAGGAACATGAGCCGAACTTGACTTAGAATGGATGTCTCACACCAAGTTGCAGAATGACTCCCTGTCACCAAGATATGTCAAGTTTATTGTGCCCTTGGCTAAAGCCAGTTAGCAAACACAGAGGGACACCCCAATTACCCAGTGACTCTAGGATGAACTTGGATTAACAAAGGGCCCTGTCAGGCCCTGTCATTTGGGGACCAGTTATTGCTCATCTTGAGAACATGTGTGTAATGGTTGTGTCTGCTGGCCAATATAAAAGGCAGACATTTCTTCCTGTCTCGGCAGTCACTTAACAGAATGACTGCGATGTACACCATCCTGATTAGATGCTTACTCGGTAATAAAACTGCTTTTGCCCCTCAACCTGTGTAGCTGTGAAACTAAAGAGGTAGATTAGGCTAAGCTGTGCTGCTCTGTAGGTTAGGTACATTAAATACATTTTGACTTACCATATTTTCAATTTATAATGGGTTTATCGGGATGTAACCCCATGGTAAGTTGATGAGCATCTGTAACATATTATAAAGCCTCTATAATTTAAAGTGTGGGACTGTTGCATGAATAGCTAGTGATACAGAGTAAAAAGTACATAAATTGTCCCATACACATGAATGAGTTTAGTATATGTTATAGGTAGCATCCAAAAACAATGACAGAAAAAAAATATGGACTATTTAATAAATAGTATTTGGCAAGTAGGTAGTCATCTGAAACAAAACTAAGGTGGTTCCCTACCTCACATAATAAGGCATAGAAAAAAATAAAAATGATTTATCACTTTGCAATGGGGAAATCTTTAACTAGGTACACATGATTCAAAATCCAGAAGTCATAAAATATTGACAAATCCTTCTCTCTATATATTTTTAAGAATTTCTATGAAGAAAAAGCACCACAAGCAAAGCAAAAGACAGACTGAGAAAAAGTATTTGTATCTTACATCATAGACAGAGGGCTACTCTCCCAAACATGTAAAGAATGCCTCTAAGTTGATAAGAAAAGGACCAACAATAGATAAATGGGCAAAACTATAAGCGAAATGTTCACAGAAACGGAAATATTAATTGCTTTTAAGTATATGACCTGATCAAGTTGATAACACACTGTGCTGGGGTGTGAGGCCGTAGGAGGCCAGCTCTGGTGCACTGCTGGCTGGAAGAGTCGATTGCCAGGATCCCTAAGGAGGCACGTGCTGTAAATGTCAAAATTAAAAATACATCTACTGTATGACCCAGTAGTCCCATATCTGGGAATGTTCCTTATACATATAATTATATTGGTGGAAAATGACATATAAAGAAGGCTATTCATTAGAGTATTATTTGTAATAGTAATTGGTTGGAACTAATTAATAAGGAAATGGGTTTTCTTATTAAAAAGGAAATGGTGGATTGATTATGTGACACTTGTGCCATATGACACTATGCAATGGTAACAAAGAATGGGGAAACTATACGTTGATAAAGATAGATCTCTAAGAGAAAAAAATGAAAAAACTGCTTTCCTTGTCTTCCACTTTTGTGGAGAGATTTTCTGAGTTGGGAGAAGATTTTGTTTTCAGTTATTTTTTTCCCAACAATTCATAGAGCTGCCATTACCTAATGGTGTGAACTTGGGCCACAGTTTCTTTATCTGTAAGATGGGTATAATAATGAAACATATTTCATAGAAATAAATGGATTAATACATGAAAGATTCTTAGAAGAAAGGTTGGCACAGACGAAGCACTCGGTAAAGTGGACTTCTGTTATTAATGGCAAATTTCAAATTCAGTTCAAATGATAGAATAGTTCTTGTCTTTCTCTAATCGCCTATCACTTAGTAATCAACTGAGATTAAAATCACAAGTTCTCAAAACGTTTTAACATTAAGAGGCCTTGTTTTTCAGAACGGTTGGAAACCAGTGATTCGGGAAATTAGGTTTACAATAAGGCCCATATCAACCGCCTCTCCAACCTCAGCATTTTACAGGCGGCATGGGGGACTTAGTGGAGACACGGGAGGCTTAGCAATTGAGCTTTCCTATTTCGGGACCTGAAACTGCATGATATCTGAGCCGGGGTTCCACGGGGTGTCTGCCCATCACAGACACTCGACAAATGAAGCATGGAATTGGAGCAGGGCAGGACTGCAGACACATGTCCCAAGAGAGTCCCCACATCAGGGCCCAGCAGTGGCCTGGCATCCTGGGGGTTTGTGTCTCCCAGATTCACCATTTTTTTTAAAAATCTGAAGTTTTAATACATACAACAATATCGTTCCCGTGATTCTGATACATAACACTCACTGATGCCATTTGGTGGCAGCATCATACAGTTTATAATTTACGTGCCTTGCTAACTTTGAAATTATGTGTTTCTTGATTTTTTAAAAGAGATATTTTCATTATGTACAATTTTGTGCATAAAGTGACTTCATTATTTTCTGTATCATGCTGTTTCAGAATTGCATGATCTAACGGTGCACAAAATGTCAATTGCATTACCTTCTAAGTGACACATGCTGAGTCACTCCTGCCTTTTGCTCCCTTGCTTATTATTCCCAACCTCAGCACTTCAGAGAGGGAGAGGGATGCGGCTTTGGGAAGCACTGCCACAACCGTGCATCTTGAATACCAGAAAAACGTACACGCCAAGTGAGGTGTGTCCCCCCGCCAGCAAGCCATGTGCATTTAATTCTGAGCTTTGCTGGGGAGAGAGCCACTCTGGGGGTTACATGGTAGAAGGGCCGGGGCTGGGAGAGAGGAGAAGACTGTACTGGGGAAGAAGGAAGAAAGGGAGCGAAAGGCCCCAGGGGAAGCCAGACCGACTGAGGAGCAGGTGCCCTGAGCTGCAGTCGCGGTCCCCAGCTCTTCCCCGTGACCCTGCCTCTCCGTGAGGCCAGGCTCGGCCTGCTGAACAGATTGAAGGATAAGGGATCCTGGGCCCATCTCAGTTTTCAGGGCTGGCTGTCTCCCTGACACCCTGTCCCTTAGCCTTAATCCCCAGATGAGATTGGGATCGGAGTGTCTGTGACACTTCTGTTATCTCCTCCTCTGGTCTTGGCCAGGCTCCTGTCTGGGCCAAGGTGAGTCTCTCCCTTCCACGTGGCTGCCAAAGTTCCTGCCTCCCCCATGCCCAGAGTTTGCCATTACGCTTGTCCTCTTGGGAAATGTGTTTTCTCCCCCACCGCACCCCAATTTCTACTCAGGTGGTGCTCACAGCAGCTGCAAACAACCTTAGCTGGGTGCTTACCAGCTGGAAGAACTCAGTAGGTGATACGCGTGCCCCGGATGGAGGCGTAAACAGAGGCTCCAGCTCCCGTCCATCCCGGTTGGAGCCGAATTCCCGAGTGGAGATGTGCAGTCCAGTTTCTGTGCCGGGGGTGGGAGGGGTGGGAGGGGGGAGGCTCTCTCCGCATGCCTTGTTAGCTTTTCTGAGCCTCTCCATTGTCTAAAGGAGGAAGGACCCCGGGGCAGGGAGGGGGTGGCTATCAAAGATGAGATTTCTGGCTCCAGGCCAGCTGTATCCAACCCTGGGAGGACAGAACTCTGGGGTTAGGCTGAGGCTTTGGTCTCCTCCCTAAGAAGCTGTCAGCAATGACTCCAACTTGTCCAGGACAAGCCATGGCAGAAATGCATGGCGGGAGCTGGTGCCCTGTGGGTGGGTGTGACCCAAGGGAGTGATGGAGAGAGTGCTGGCTTGGAGGTGGGTCCTGTGTCCCGTGTCAGCTCTGCCTCTGATGGATGGTGATCAGGCACTGCTCATGTTGCCCCTGGGTGTTTGTTTCCTCATGTAAAAATTAAGTGGATGGGAACTTTAGGAAAATTAGATGGCTCTAAAATCCCTTTTTACTCTTGTGTTCTAATATTCTAACATTCCTTCTTCCCTTTTATTATTTGCACGATACCAGAGTGCTGAACTGCGGGGGTGTGGGGCCAAGCCTCCAGTGGAAGTCCCTAAAGTGGACTTCTCTGAAGAGCAATTATTGGGAGGAAGGATAAAGCACAAAGCCTCCCAAAGTCAAGTTCACGTGTACTCCCCGTTCTCTCCGTCTTCTTCGCCTCCCCTCCTTCTCCTTGCTCCTCCCCGGGAATATGCAGAAACTCAGAGCTTCCCAGACTTGCCCATCTGGAAGCTGATTATGGCTCCTTCACCTCTACCTGTCCTTTCCGGGATTAGTAGCAGAGACTCCTCCAGGAGATGGAAATCACAGTCATCCCGTCTCCCCCTCCCCACAACTTCTCCCCTTTCTGCTGGGCTGGGAGGCTGAAAGGCAGGCTCACATGTGGTCCCACCACAGTTCCTGCTAGTGCCCCAGTTCTACAGAGACACAAAATAGAAAGTTCCCATAAAAAGTGGGGTGGGGGACACGTGCCAGGGGGCAGAGCACCCAAGGATACAGCCACTGAGGGGGGGCAGAGGGGAGAGCCGGAGAGAGAAGGGAGGGCAGGAGGGAGAAGAGAGGTGAGAGGCAGGGGGAGGGGAGGGGAGGGGAGGGGAAGAGAGGGAGGAACTAATCCTCCTTGATTCTGTGGGGTCCCTATTGGCAGGACCCTGGCATGGGGTTGGGGCGGAAGAGTGATGGATTTACTCCTGAGGAGTTCATGCCAGGTGCCCACTCCAGGGCGAGCATGATCTGCTCTGCACCCTCTCTGGACACCTCATACCTCCAGGGTTATGTAACCTGCACCACTCTGAACCCAGGGGATAATCAGATCAGAGGAGCCCCAGTCTGTCCCTCCCCCATGGCACGGAGCCTGGCACAGGGAGAGGCACATATAAGTCCATACATCTTGAGCATTCACCTGCAGGAGAGATGTCCCAGACCCAGGGAACCATGGCCTGGGCCCTTCTCCTTGGACTTCTCCTACTTACGGCCCTGGCAGCCCCGTCCCAAGGCAACCGCCCCCGCGCCACCTCTCGCCTGCGTTACTCCAGGTTCCTAGATCCTTCCAATGTCATTTTCCTGCGCTGGGACTTTGACCTTAAAGCTGAGATCATCACTTTCGAGCTCCAGGTCCGGACAGCTGGCTGGGTGGGCTTAGGGATCAGGAATCGCTCCACCAGCGTGCAAAGCGATCTGGTTGTTGGAGGAGTCTTGCCTGACGGCAATGTCTATTTCTCGGTAAGTCTGAGGGGGACTTTCTTCCAAGGATGAGGGTCTCTTGCTGGGGTTCAGGATGGCTCTGAGTCTAGGAAGGATCCACGTTTTCCCAAACATATCCAGGCACATGCCCAGAACACCTGCTGGCTGCTCACCTCTCCTTTCAGAGTTGGCCCATTGGAGAGTTTCAGTCGAGGTCCTTCAGACTGGACGTCCCTACGGTGCTAAGTGGGGCACCCACTAACTGAGCGTGGTCTCCCTGCACCATGTACTTGCTAATAGCTTACTCAATGCAGGTCACAGCTGTTTGAGACATAGTCCTCATACTCAATTTCCTTGAAGCTCAGTCAGGTAGACTGCAACAGAAAACGGTCTAATCACAACAGCGCCAAAAGCATTGATAATAGCTTAAGGTGGTTATGTACTTTTGATTAACCAGGCATTGTTCCAAATTCTTTGCATGTTAAACCTCACAGCATGGCTGTGACGTGAATGAGTATCACCCTACTTCAGAGATGACAAAGAGGCTCACCCACCTCCTGATCTCATCCATCTGAACTGCATTTATATGGGGAAGTGTCCATGGTAGAGCCACATGGCTGGATGAATAGCACAGAGAGTTCAGAGGCTCTGTGAGTTTCCAAGGGTTAGGGATACAGGAAAATTAGGATGTATGGAGATGAGATTTGAAACGGGAGAAGTAAACCAAGGTCAGGTGGTGCGACTCCACCAGACACTGTCCGTCCTGCTGTCTCGAGCATCCACCCTTGATGCCATACTCTGTCGTAGGAGCCAACCATATCATCAAGAAATCCTGGGTTCTGCTACCCTAGTCTAATCCCTTGGGGGGGAGCGAAAGGAACACCGGTTGCTCCTAAGTCATGACCACTTGGGGCTCCTGGTACTTACGCCTTGACCTTCACTGGACCCCAGGATCAGCACCTGGTGGATGAAGACACCCTGGAGGAGGACGGAAGTCAGGATGCTGAGCTGCTGGAGCTAACGGAAGACTCTGTCTATACCACCATGCGCTTTTCCAGGCCCTTCCGCTCCTGTGACCCTCATGACCTAGACATTAGGGTAAATTGTGGGATGGGGGAGAGAAAAAGCATTCGACCAGAAGTAGCCTTTCCTTCCAGGGAGATGCAGTCACCCCCACACTGGAGTGACCATGCATCTCAGGCAACCAGTCACAGTTCCTAGGACTTCTGGGGGGCTTCCCAGTACTGCCCCAACAGTGCCCCCTTGAAATCCACAAGCCCTCTACAGGGGGGCTTCTCATTGACTCAACACCCACCTCACCCTCTCCAGTGCTCCCCTCCCAAAGAACTTTGCCCGATTTCACTGAACTTTAGAGTGTCATTTACCATGTGGACACAGGCACAGAGAGGGTAGATACGAGGGGGTGGGACTTGCTCAACGTTTCCAGCAAGTCAGCCTCTGAGGCAGAGCTAGAACCCACCCAGTTCTGCCTCCCCCGACCCCCATCTGCAGTGCTTCCCATTCCACTGTGGAGACGTGGGCACGTGGTTGTGTGGGTCCCTGGGTGTGTGGGTGTGTGTGAAGTGCTGCCCATGGGCAGTGGCACCTCAATGCCCATGACACCCCCAGAGCGACACCATGAGGGTGCAGGCTGCCTATGGCCTGGATGACACACCGAGGCTGGATCGGGAGCGGACTTTTGTCAAGTCCATCTTCCTGCTACAAATAGTCCACCCAGATGACCTCGATGTCCCTGAGGACACCATCATCCATGACTTGGAGATCACTGATGTAAGACCCCTTCCTTTACCGTCTTCCCACTCAGTCCAGACCCCCCTGTTGCACCTGATATTCAGTACATTCCTTGGACTGAGGTTTCTCTGACTTCCTTCAGTCCCCTGAGGATGGCCAACCTGGCCTTCACATGAGCATCGGTCCCCTTCCTGTCCCTTCCCTGGCCTCTCTGGGAGCATCACTGCCATCCCAGTGTGGCCTCTGTGTGTCCTTCTCCAGTTCCTCATTCCAGAGGATGACACCACGTACGCCTGCACCTTCCTCCCTCTCCCCATCGTTAGCAAGAAGCATCACATCTACAAGGTACAGTGAACCAGGCGGGGACGTTTGCTAAGGTGCTTGGGCAGCGCAGCGGGCATGGTGGGCTCTGAGGAAATGGTGTCAATCAGACCACTGGAGGGAAGGAACAGGGCCAACATGGGGGTCAGGCCAGGTTTGGCAGAGGTGGTAGTTTCACAATTTCTGGAGCCCAGAGCTATTGCTGTCAGCCCTGTTTTATTTGAGCCTCACAATGCAGCTGAGATTTTGGTGAAGGTCAGGAATTAATAAGTTTTGCAGAGAACACAGGAGAAGACCCACCCTGGCCCCAGAACTGTGCTCTTAGCTCGGAAGGAGGTGTAGGCTGTGACAGATGTGGCCAAGGACTATCCGGTCAGGGAAGTCTGGCTAGAGGGAACTCAAACTTGGTCGCCTGATTGCACATTGGAGTGATTTCAACTTTGATAACATAAATAAAATTATGATCTTACAGTAGGTGGCAAATGTGTGGCAGCCATTTTTTTCTTTAGAGAGAGAATCCAACAAAGAGTGGTTACATGCTCAGATGTCATGGACTGATGAGGTTATGAAGGGAGAGGCAGAAGGCTCGGGATTTAGTGTGTGTGATCTGAGGGAAGGGGTTTAAAAGGGTGATGGGGGGGGGGTGCCTGAGAGAGGAGTCAGACAGAGTGGGGGGAAATGATAGGTTGGGGAAGAAAAATGGAGAAAATGGAAAAGAAACAGAGAAGTGAGGAATGGGAATGGTTTTGTTTGGGAATGAAAACGGGGGACCAGGTCTTGACACAGATCTTGACCGTGCTCTGCCCGCCTCCCCCCACCCAGTTTGAGCCCAAGTTGATCAACCACAACGAGACCATGGTGCATCACATCATCTTGTACGCCTGTGGCAACACCAGCGTTCTCCCCACGGGCATCGGCGACTGCTACGGGGCTGACCCCGCCTTCTCCCTCTGCTCACAGATCATCGTGGGCTGGGCTGTCGGCGGCACAGTGAGTCCTGTGATGTCTAAGGGGGTGCATGTTGTTGGGAACCGGGACTGCTGGACTGCTGGAAGGCCGGGAGCGGGTTGAGTCTCTGTACCCAGTTCCCAGCTCTTCTTCTTGCCAAATCCCCCTCCGTCCAACAGAGTTACCAGTTTCCAGATGATGTGGGCATCTCTATTGGGATGCCCCTGGACCCCCAGTGGATCCGCCTGGAGATTCATTACAGTAATTTTCACAACCTTGCTGGTGAGCACCTAGGGCATTGGCGTCCTGGGAAGGTGCCGCGAGATGCATGCCGACTGCTTTTGCTCACATGCTGCCCGTTTCCCCGGCCTCTTCCCCACCATGTGACCTGCTCTCCCACCTTTCTGCACCAGGTGTGTATGACTCCTCGGGGATCCGCGTGTACTACACCGCACAGCTCCGCAAATACGACATGGGGGTCCTGCAGCTGGGCTTCTTCACGTTCCCCATTCATTTCATCCCGCCGGGGGCCGAGTCCTTCATGTCCTACGGGCTGTGTAAGACGGAGAAGTTTGAAGAGGTGAAGCTGGGGAGGCACACCCTGCCTGAGGGTCCCAGAGCTGGTCTGATCCACAAGCGCACGCAGCCTGAGCCACAGGCTTGGACCATGATGGCAGCTTGGGGTTCGGGATCATGAAAGGGAGGGAAGGAATCAGGGCTTTGGGGTCAAGGGGAGTGGGGCAGGAACGGGGCCAGGAGGGTTCAGCAAGAGCTAACGGGGTTTGTGTTCGTCATAAGAGGAAGGGTCAAATATTAAGGGAGGAAAACCAAGGAGCGGGCAAGATGAGAGTCTTCACAAACAGGATGCTCCTCCCCTGTCACAGATGAATGGGGCCCCCATTCCCGATCTACAGATATATGGCTACCTGCTCCACACTCACCTGGCTGGGCGGGCTCTGCGAACTGTGCAGTACAGGTAAGGAAAGGAGACATGGCTTTGAAGCTTTCCCTTGTGCACGTGGGAATCAATCTTAGAAGTAGTTCTCTATTCTGCAGCATAAGGTTATACTTGGTTGGGAGTAAGGAGGAGCTGGAACGTCCACAGAGTAGAGATGACAGAAGGAAGACGGTGGAAGGGGGAGCTTTCTTGTTTCATGGACAATCTGTACCCACAGTGTGACTCCACACATGGCTATCTTATTGATAGAACCCCTACCCACCTCATCCTCTTTTTATTCCTGTCCCCTCCCCTTCTCTCCCTCTAGAAATGGAACACAACTCCGAACCATCTGTAAAGATGATGCCTATGATTTCAATCTGCAGGAGACTCGAGATTTACCCCATCGAGTGGAGATCAAGCCGGTGGGAGCCTGGGGGGAGGCATGGCTGGAGTTGGGGGCTTGACAGGCTCAGAGCTCTTTCCTGTTAGCCAGGAGCGCTCTCAGATTGGTCCAGTCCCTCTGTGTCTTATTTTCAGCCTTTGTGTTTCACTCTGAATAGGGGGATGAACTGCTGGTAGAGTGTCACTACGAGACACTAGACCGCGACTCCTTGACTTTTGTAAGTACCTCTCTCCTCACCTCGACCACCATGGCAATAGCCTCAGAATAGAGCCCCATCCCTGGCCTTGACTCCAATTATTCCAGCTGAAGCACCCTCCTTTCTCCAATGGTGTTACCCATGCACATGGGCTATGTTCTCACACCCCAGCGATGATAAGATGGGTACAGGATTCCCCCCTTTCTCTGTCAATGACCTGCTAAGACCATAAAAACATAGCATGTTATTGCGACTAGGAGCATGGACTCTGAGCCTCACTGCTTGGGTTTCAATGCCAACACAGTCATTGGTAGCTTTCTAGCCTTAGGCAAGTTATTCAATCTCTTTGTGTCGTAGTTTCCTAATTCATAAAACAATTAATGACACTATCTCTAGCATAAGATTGTTGTGAGAGTTGATGACTACATGTGCAAATCTAAATCATTGCCTGACCTGTAGTAGTTGCTCAATTATAGGTAACTATTGTTATTATGGTCACAAGGAACACCACCCATTTTGTGTGTCTGGAATGGTTCCATGCTTGCAGGATTCAACAGGGTTCCTTGCTATTGAGGAAGAAAATACAAACATGCACATGATTATAATACAAGGTAGAAAGTGACATATACCATAAAAGAAGAATGGGGATAATGCACTAGGGGAATTCACAGGGGAAAGCCATTAGGTCCTATTACAGTGAAGAGAATATGTGACAGATCTGTGTCCTGCTTTAGACATGTAGACATGGGGAATCCTGGAGAAGCTCAAGAGGGAGTGGCTTTTTTCAGTAAACTCAGTATCTTGTTGCACCTTCTCAAACCAGAACAATAGCAGTGAAAATGTCGAGGACAGGGAATACGTGTGGGATGATTTCTTTAGAAACAATATCAATACTTGTCCACCAATTGGAAATAGAGGAGGAAGAAAGAGGTGTAGTAAGGAGTAGTAAGTAACCATCAGTGAGCTGGCTCTAGGCCACAGGGAAAGGAGAACAGCATCATGGGTAGAATGACCACCCTAAACAGTTTCTGCCTGCCCTGTCCCCCGCTCTGCATGCCTTTGTATCTTTGTCTCCCCATTTGTCTCTCTCTTCTTCTCCAGGGAGGTCCCAGCACCATTAATGAGATGTGCCTCGTCTTCCTCTTCTACTATCCCCGAAACAACATCTCCAGCTGCATGGGGTACCCTGACATCCTCTATGTGGCCCATGAGCTGGGGGAGGAGGCATCAGAGTGAGTCAGCCTTGGACGATGAGACCCTCAAGTGTGACCTCTAGAAATTAGGTCACTTTTGGACAAATTCTTTGTCTGCCTTTTTCTCTTGCACTGTCCGACCCAGTCAAAAACTGTGTTTACTTTCAAGTAGTGACCCTGCATTATTTGGGGGTGAGGGTCCTCTCTGAGACTCTGATGAAAGTTCTGAAACTCCTTTCCAAGAAAAATGCACCCCTGTGCAGACACACATTCCACATACAATTTCAAAGCATTTACAGGTTCCCTGCAGTCACTCTCTCAACTTCCTGGGACTTTACGGCCCCCACGTTAAAAACCACTCCTTTAAAGAGTCAGAAGATTCTCTTTTTCACTTTCAACATTCTCATCTTTGAGTTCTCATATTTCTCCTCCTGCCAAACTCATGATTATCTCACTCCATTGCAAGACATTCCTTATTGGTTTATGGCAACATGGAACTGACGCCAACAAAAGTGAGGATATTTTATACATGTTTTGTCAAAGGTTTCAGTCGACCCTAAACTACTGTCTGTTGCCCCCTTCCCCCACCCACGGCAGTTCCATGGAGGGCATGATGGCCATGAACAACGTCGAGTGGACACCAGAGAGCATTAAGAAGGCTGAGAGAGCTTGCAAGGAGGCCCAGCAGATGGTGATAATAAAGACCATTGAAGTTAGTGTCCCAGGAGACACCAGCCTCTCAGGGTCAGGGAGGAGGGGTGTGAGATGGTGTTAGGTGAAGCCAGGAACAGAGAAGAATGAGAGGAACGCTGGGCCAGGGAAGGGGAGGTTGGGGAAACAGAAAGTTGGACTGATGCAGCTCTGGGCTGGGGGGCAGTGATTGGGGTCTCCCAGTTAGCCTGTGAGGCCACAAGGACTGGGGACAACCAACTAAGGTCTGAGGAACAGAAACAAGATGGAGAGGCTTCTAGCTTTCTGCAATTGTGTTCCTTCTCCTGCAGGAGGCAGTGGAAAACACAACAGGCTGGATTCCAGAAATCATCCCTACCCCTCGGGGGCCCTGCTTGGAGTCCTCCGGAGGCAAAGTGGAACCCCAGGACAAAACCCCTGCAGGCGCCAGGGCTGCACCAGCAGCCCTCTCGGGCTCTGGCACCGCCACCGTGAGGTGCCTCTCCCTGGCTGCCCTCTTGTTGGGGCAGGGGGCCATCTCTTGGCTCCTTGCCACCCTGCAGGCTGGAGTCTGATTACTGTCTCCTCATGTCACATCCCCAGGCCCCTCCCTTCATCAAACACAGAAACTCCCCTCTGCTTTGGCTCCCCAAAGGCCCCTGCCTGTGCCCCTTCCCATGACCCAGGCCATGACGCTGCAGGCCTGGGCATCGCATGTGCTTCACACAGGCTCTTTCAAGGCCAGCTATGCCATTCATCCCTGAAAGCTTTAGAAACATGGGCGGGTCTGACAAAATCTGGATCCAAAATGAGGGATTGTCTACAAATAGCTGGCTTGTCATCTTCAAAATGTCAAAATCATGAAAGAAAAAGAGGGACTGAGGAATAGTGACAGAGTAGACTAAAAAGAACAAACAAAAATCCAATTAAACAATTACATGCAACATGCAACATGTGCTCGTGGTTCAAATCCTTTTGTTGTTGCTGCTGTCATTTGCGTTTTCTGTAAAGAACATTGTTGGGATGACCGGTGAAACTTGGTGTCTGTGCATGAGATGGTAGGATTGTATGAATGTTCATTTCCTTCTTTGGCTGGTTATATCGTGGTTATGTAAGGAGAATCTGCTCTGCTATCAGGAGATCCAAGGAGAAGGAAAAAGTTTAAATACACATCAGAACACTCAAGGAGTTATGTAATAATAACAGTAATAATAAACCTTTGTACAGACTTTCACAGACTGAAAGTGCATTTCCACATATGTTGCAGTTCTGAAGCTTACTCCATCTTATGGATGAGGAAACTGAGGCAAGGCAAGGCAGGGAATGTGCATCTGAAGCTGTAGTTTCTGGGTCAGCCTGGTAGCAGGTGGTACTCTGAGGATCCCATGGAGTCACCTGTATGTATTAGGGTCTGACGGAAACACAGGAGCCAGCGGAGCTCAGGGCTCGGAAGCAGCACACTGATATTTGCTTCAACCTCTTCCCTCTCCAGGTTTTCTGCCTGGTTCCAGGACCATATCTTGTGTGTAGACTTTCGAGTTTCAATTCTCAAATTTCTTCAAATGTCTGAAGTTAAGTCCAGGTTTTCTTTTTTTCTGTTTTGTTGTTGCTGCTGTTGTTCTTTTTTTTTTTTTTCCTCAGAAGTACGGTAATGATAATACTTAAATTACCATTGGTTGACATACACAAAGAGTTGAATTTCAGTAACTACAGAACTATGGTTGCTTGAACAAATTTTCAGTTTACCAAACGCCAAGTGTTTTCAGTGAAACCTTTGTCCAATTAGTCTGCCCCGGTGTGGGGCTGGCAGAAGGACCCAGAGCACTTTGTACCATATCAGGGTTTGTGGCGTCAGCAAGATAAATGCCCTGAAGCTCCCTCAGCGAAGATACGAGTGAAGGAGTCCATGACCAAGTTCATCATACAGTTTAGAATTAGGAGTTTTGTTTTGCTTTGAGTTGGAAGGTCAAGTTAAGAGGGATGTATACTCTGGTGTAAGGTCTATCAACTTGGTGCAGAGGGTTGCTACTTGTGGGCAGATTCCAAAGGGCAAACGCAGCTAACTGATGATCTGTGTCCCTCACGCAGAACATCATCAAGCCCTCCAGACAACAGTACGGCCATGGAAGTAGGTCAGAAGGCTGTGCAAATGTGTTCACAGTGGGTGGCAGACATTCTTGCACCGTCAGAACCTTAAGCCGCAGATGCTGGAGTTCCTAGATGCTGGGAAAGTTCATAGTACATTTGACTGGGGAAGTGATCCCCAAACTCTTTGGTTTCAGGACCCCTTTACATTCAAATTTAGTGACGGTCCTGTGGGTTTAGGTGGGTTATACTGACTCGTATTTTTACTGCATTAGAAATTAAAGTTGAGTCACTTGTAAAATAGTTTGTATTTTATTTTTTCACTCATTAAAAATAACAATATATCAACTACACGTTAACAAAAATAATATATTTTTATGAAAAGCTATATTTTCCAAAGCAAAAGAATTAGTGAAAAGGTAGACATTATTTTATATTTTATACATCTGTTTAATGAGTGGCTTAATAGAAGACAGATTCTTGTATTTGCTTTTATATTCATCTATTGTGACACCACATAGCACAGAGTCTCTAGAAAATGCCACTGCATACTAAGGAGAGAATGAGAGTGAAAAAGGCAAATAACAACATAGTATTATGAAAATAGATTTGACCCTGTGGACCCCAGAAAGAGTTTGGGGGCCTCCCATGGGTTCCCAAACTCCATTTTGAAAATACTGTCCTAGGGTTGAGCCTTCTATAGCACCCAACTGCCTCTATTTGGTTATGATTGTAAATCTATCCATGGGGGTCTGGGTGATCTCAGAAAGTAGTAGACCAAAGATATTGGTGAATTTGGATGTGAAAGAGCAAAAACATGCTGAAAGTCCTAACAACTAAAGGGGGGTCTAGACAGTAAAATAATAAGGGAAAAGCTGGTAGAAAAAAAGAAAAGCAAGTAAGGTTATGAAGTCTGACCCCAGGGCTAACACTGTCTCCCCTCCACTATGTCTTTACATACTCATCTCCGTCTGGGTGATTTCTGGTCTGTAGAAGAGTTAGAGCCTTGTAAATGAATCCAGCCATCAGCGCGAACAGCAAGGGCCTATGATTATCTCATAAATAAGATTAATTGTAATTTCCTGGAAGTACTTTTAAAGTCTATACATAGAAGTACTTATCAAATCTGTAGAAAGAGTGTCAGTAGTGCCTATGGCAGTAATGATTGCAAAGTTCGAGAAGTTATATTTTCAACATCTATAATCATATTTTTATTTTCTATGATAGTAAAGGAAACCTATAATGTTACTAATTTAATTATTTCAATTCCTGGAGTCAAAGTGTCTAGGAGACCTACAATGGTAGCATTTTTGATAGCTATAGATAGGATCTCTGTAGAAGCAATAATATTTGCAGTATGTGTAATAGCAAATTACTATACTGGTAGCCATGACATTTGGAAAAGTCCATAGGAAAGTAAAGTGTGGTTTTTAGCATTAGCAATTAAATAATGTACTGTAATATTAATAACTATTGCTACAGCAGTTATAGGAGTGCCAGGTATCACCAGTGCTCTCAGTTATGGCATTATGTTCTGTGACCCAAGACAGGCGGGGTTATTTCAGTGACTACATCTAAAGCAATAGCATTCACAGATCCTAATGTGGTCTTACTATCGGTCTTTACTATATCAAAATCATCTGTGAAGTCTATAGCAAGGACGTATAAAAAATGTAAAGCTTAACCGATGGGGCTTAGGAGTTGTAATTTTAAAAGTAGTAGTATATATTTTGGTTCCAAAAGAAGTATCCACAAAGTTATTAATACATACATCTCTAGATATATCTTCAACGTCTACAGGAGTAGCCACATCTATAAAAGCTAGGGCTAATATTTGTGATAACTTACGTAACATAAGATCATGTACCTGCTTATTGATTTTCTGTATTTGAATGTTTTTAAGAGACGTCTGTAGTAAGTATCCTGCTTTGAGTAGTAATCAGGGAACTACAGCAGAACTTGTGGTATTTGCAATAGGAGTAGATGCAGTAGTAGAAGCATCTGTTGTTGTTGTATTGGTATTATTGGTTATTCTAGTGGTAGTATTTGAAGTATACATGGTAATACTTGTAATATCTGTGGTAGTATTAGTTGCAATAATAGGTAAATAACTAGTTGTAGAATTTGTTACTAGATGATGAGTGGCTGTAGCTGGAAGAGCAGACGTTAGTGTGTCTGAATCTGTTGAATTTGGAATAGAAACATGTGTCGTGTCACCTGGAACACTGCTGGTACCATTGGTATCAGTAATATTTACTACATGCCCTGTATGCCTCATAGTACTGGTAGTAACTGAATCCATGCTAGTGGATGCAGTGCTTGCGGAAGTAGTGTTGATGGTGCCTGGGTTAGGAAAATTTGTGGAAATTAATGTTGTTTGGCTTAGGGCCTGTGTTGCAGTAGTAGCAGAATGGGGAGTAGTGAGCTGTGTGGTGTTGGTGGTAGTAGGGGGAAATAGAGACTGGGTAGTAGAGACTGGTGTGTCTGTAGCAGTTGTTATAGAAAAGGTAGTATATGTGGAGTTAAGGGTACCAGTTGTTGTACTGCCTGTAGAGAGGCTGTTTGTAATAGAAGGAGTTGTAACTGGAACAGTATCATTAGTGTTAGTAGCATTAGTACCTATTGGGGAAAGAGTAGTGGTTATAAGAACAGTAGTACCAGTGCTAGTATCAGTAATAGTTGTTGGAAAAGGAGTGGTTGTGATAGGAAAGGCAGTACTAGTGCTAGCATTAGTAGTATTTGTAGAAAAAGGAGTAGTGCTATCTGTAATAGGATGTTTAGAAGTAACTTCTGTAGCATTTGTTGGGTAAACAGTGGTTGTGATAGAAAAGGCAGTGCTAGTGCTAGCAGTAGTAGTGTTTGTAGAGAAAGTAGTAGTGATATTAGTAATAGCAGCACTAGATGTAACTTCTGTAGAATTTGTTGGGAAA